AACACAGGGCCGTAGACAGGAATAGGAGAAGGTGGAGGGGGAGACATCGGCGAGCGGTCAGGGGAGGGAAGGCCGAGCAGGCGAAGAGCGGAGACCGGCTGCGATGGCTGCTGCGACGGCTGGGTCTCGACCCGCGGACCGGCAGGGGCACGATGACCGCCGGGAGAACACTCAAAGGCAGCACCCCCAAAACCAACACCCCCAAAGCGAGAACTCCCTCCAGCACCAGCAGCACCCCCAGGCTCGTGGGAGCCGACCACGCCAGGGGCAGTAGGACGAGCACCCTCCTCAACACCAGTACCCCCAGAGGCCAAGAGCGGTAGCGGCAGCGGCGGCGGCTGCGACGGCGGTGGCTGTGGCGGTGGTGGCGGCGACGATAGCGGCGACAGCGACGGCGACTGCGACTGCGACAGCGGAGGGGGGGACACGGGGGGGGGGCACGGCACAGACGGGCCGAGGGGACCACCAGAGTCAGCAGACTCCTCAACGGGGACAACCGACAGGAGGGGAGTAACATGGGAGACACCAGACGGGGCAGGACGAGGCGGGAGGGGAGCAGGGGCTACCGGGGGAGAGGGAGTAAGGAACAGGGGGGGGGAAACTGGGAGACCTCGGTGAGGGAAGCGACGGAAGAAGGAGACAGACTCGTCAAAGGTGACGTCACGAGAGTGAAGGAACCGGTGAGACTGCGGGTGGTAGAAGAGCCAGTCGGACGAGTCCAGGGGGAAACCGAGGAAGACACAAGGGACTGTGCGGGCAGTGAGCTTGTCCGTGCCGGAGGCACGAACGTGCGCAAGGCACCCCCAGACGTGGAACGCAGACGCGTCACCGGGGGACCCCGTCCAAAGGAGGGTCGGCGAAACCTGCGGCCGCTAGGAGCGTGGCCACAGGTTAAGCTGGTGAGCAGCGTAGCGATTAGCGAACGGCCACAGAAAATGGGGGGCATCAGCGTGAATCATGGAGGTACGAGCAACCTCCCTGACCAAGCCGATTCGGCGCTCAGCAACCCCATTCTGCTGTGGCGAGTCCGGCAAGGTGTACGACTGGGTGATGCCCTCCGCACGACAGAACTGTCCCAACCGACTAGAGGCGAACTCGCCTCCACGGTTGGAGTGGAGACACAGCACAGGGAGACCGCGGTGAAAACGCGCAGCTACAACCCACGGGAGAAGAACGTCGAGCATGTCGGCCTTCCGCTCCAGGGGAAACACCGTGGTGTAGCGCGTGTAGTCGTCGACGAGCACAAGAAAGTAGCGCTCACCGCGCGGTCCGGGGACGGGGGCTGGGCCCCAAACGTCCAGGTGCAGGGTCTGAAGGGGAGAAGTAGCAGGGGGAAGCGAGGAGGAGTGAGGGGCACGGCGGAGCCGGCCCTCGACGCAAGGTGTGCACGGTGGTGCAGGCGAGGGGGGAAGTGCAGGGAGCGACTCGGGGAGGTCTAAGACAAGACCGTGCTGAGACATGTAACACAGGCGCAGGAGAGCAGGGTGACCTAAGTGGTGGTGCCATAGAAGGGACGGGTGTGTGAGGGACCGACACGAGCACGCTGCAGCAAACTGGGAGGACACACCAACCGGGGGGGAAGCGGTGTCAAGGGTAAACAGCCCGGACACCGGGTCCCGGGGGAACGTCGCAAGGGAGGAACCTGAGACAGCCTCGGTACAGACAGCGAACCGCTTGTGCCTAGGGAACGTAGTGGTGATGCCGAGGTCCTGAAGACGGCTGACACCAACCAGGTTCCTGGAGAACGAGGGAACGTGGAGGCCTGTAAGAGAGCCGGAGGGAACGGCTGGACAGGGAAGGGAAGTGGAGCTGCGAGCAACGACAGGTCTCGCTGAGGGGTCAGCGAGAGCGTCAACAGCAGGCGCAGCAAGCGGCGTGAGCGTGGAGCGATCGCGGAAGGAACAGGCAGAAGCACTGGAGTCGAGAGTGAAGGACAATGAGGCAGTAGCGGAGGCCAGGAACCAAGCCGATGCAGGAACTGGGCTAGGCAAACGAGGCAGTGCTACGCCTGACGCAGTAGGGGAGGCGAAGCTACACAAGGGTGCTACGCCTAAACTAGAGTACACAGGGTAATAAGATCCAGCAACACTAGAAGCGTCAGCATACAAGGCATGCAAAGCAGCACCTATCTAACTCAAAGATCGGCACGCCCTGGCGAAGTAGGCTGTGCCAGTCGGGGAGGTCCAGGGCCGGGCCAAAGCGACGACTAAAGAGATCGTCGAGGCGGCGGAAACAGCGGGCGGTCGGGTGCGGGCGGCAGCACAGAGTGCCGTGGAGAGGCCCAGTCTGAAGCTGGTACTGGCAGGTCACACCACCGGAGCTGCCGGTAGACGCCAAGCTGCGCGGGCCGCCACCACGGCCACCACCCACGGAGGTGCCGGGTCAACCCGGGGGGAGACGAGCCCATGGCTGGGGTTGGGACAGCTGCGGGGACGACTGCAACGGCTGCTGCGGCTGCTCTTGCTGCTGGGGCGATGGCTGCTGCTCCTGACTAGCTGCGGCAGTCCCCTCAGTAGAACCTCTGTCCCCGGCACCACCACCACTACCACCAGCTCCACCACCACGCCCTCCCTGGCGGCCATGACCGGCGCGGCGCGGGCGCTGCTGTGAGTGCATGGCAATGGCAGTCTCGGTCAGAGGGGTCGAAGTGGCGACCGCAGCCGAAACGTCAGTAAACGTGCACTGGGAGGGGGCACAGCCGTGAAAGATAGAGACTGCCGGTGCACCGCTCGACTGAGCGATAGTGCGCTGGCGAGTCTCGATCTCGGTCAGGGCGGTGATAATGGCTGTCAGGGTGAGGTCACCGGGGTGCTGGCTAAGGATGTGGTCGCGGGCACTAGCAAGGCGGTCAGGCAGGCGCATAGCGATAAAGTAGAGGGTCATGCAGAAGTGGGGAGGGAGCGCAGTGAGCTGGGCAGCAGTGCTAGCAGTGTGGTAGCGAAACTCGAGGGCGCGCAGGTGTGTGGCAAGATCAGCAACAGTAGGGAAGGAAGCAAGGTCTGGGAAAAGCATAGGAAAGAGCAGGCGGCCTGCAGTAGCAGAGGCAGGCGTGGAATAGCGAGCAACTACAGCATCTAGGTAAGCCTTGGCTGTATCAATTGTAGCGAAACGCGAACGCTCAGGCACAGGGAGGGCGTGACTAATAGCGACATGAGCAACTGCATCGCGAGAGTCCCAGATTGCACATGCTAGTGCAGCAGCAGAGAAAACCATCAACATGGACAACCAAGGAGTGCCCATCCTGACGCTGACCTGTGAGGTGACGGCGGAGATCGGACAGCCAGGCGGCGAAGTCAACCGCGTGGCCCTCCGCGTCCAGGCGGAGGATGAAGTCAGCCATCGTGCAAAATCAGCGACACAGGGACACAGCGGCACAGGTCCACAGGACACGACAAGACGCTCCAGCGCGGCAAGCAGACGACACAAGCCGCAGGAGCCGGGCGGGCACGGGGAGTTGCGGGCCACAGGAGCCGGGCAGGCGTGTCGGGGCTAGGCAGGCAGTAGGAGAGGCCTGGCGGGCGCTGTGGAAAGGGCCGGGCGGGCGCTGTGGAAAGGGCCGAGCGGGCGCTAGGAGGGGCCGGGCGGGCGCAAGGTGGGGCCGGGCGAGCGCTAGGTGGGGCCGAGCCGGCGCTAGGTGGGGCCGGGCGAGCGCTAGGTGGGGCCGGGCGAGCGCTAGTAGGGGCCGAGCGGGCGTTATGAGGGGCCGGACTAGCGCTAGAAGGGGCCGGGCGGGCGCTAGGAGGGGCCGGGCAGGCGCTAGGAGGGGCCGGGCGAGCACTAGGAGGGGCCGGCGCGCGCAGCAGACCATGGGCCAGGCGGACACGGTGGGGCTAGGCGAGCGCGGCGGGGCCAGGCGGGCGCGTTGGGGCCAGGCGGGCGCGACGAGGGCCAGGAGGGCGCTACGGGGGCCTGGAGGGCGCGTCGGGGGCCAGGAGGGCGCTACAGGTCCTGGAGGGCGCGACGGGGGCCAGGAGGGCGCAACGGGGCCTGGAGGGCGCAACGGGGGCCAGGAGGGCGCGACAGGGCTTGGAGGGCGCGACGGGAGCCAGGAGGGCACTACGGGGCCAGGAGGGCGCGATGGGGGCCAGGAGGGCGTGACGGGGCCTGGAGGGCGTGACGGGGGCCAGGAGGGCACTACGGGGCCAGGAGAGCACGACGGGGGCCAGGAGGGCGCTACGAGGCCAGGCAGGCGCGACAGGGCCAGGAGGGCGCGACGGGGCCTGGAGGGCGCGACGGGGGACAGGAGGGCACGACGGGGGCCAGGAGGGCACGACGGGGCCAGGAGGGCGCTAAGGGGCGGGCGCTAAGGGGCGGGCGGGCGCTGCAGGCCAAGCGGGCGCTAAGGGCCGGGCCGGGCTAGGTAGGTAGGGGGAGGCGAGAGGCTAGGGCGCGGGCGGAAGCGGGTGGGTGGACCAAACCTACTTGATACCATGTTAGAATACGAGAATGTTTTACTAGTGTGAGAAACCTATAACATATACCTGTTGGGGTTGTACTCACTAGAAGCACACACCTAGGCTAGCCTATAACTTCTACATACAACATATGTATAAGTTGACAGTACATAGCAAAATGTTAAAAAAAAAAAACTATTTTTCACCTTTGGGAAGGGTGGTCAAATGGTTTCAAGGCTAAGAGTAGGGTGGTAACTAAATCCAGTTAAATTAAACACCCATACCCGCTCAAGCTACTCGGGGGAGCTTAATTCCGGCATGTGTTTTATACGGGGGATTACGGCAAATCTGGCTGGCTTGAAAAGGATATGCTTGGTGTCAATAAATGTATTTCTCCTTATTTTGTTGGTGTTGTTAGATCCTTGTTTAGAACGACGTACCTTGGAAATTTTGAAGATACACTTCATAACGAATTCTGCTAGCAGAAAGTCCCTCTTCAAGTGTCCCAGCTCTATGCCCCTTGCCTGGGTTCCGCCAGCCTCCCGCACCGCAACCACTCCCTCTCTCCCTCTTCCCTATCCCCATTTTCTATTTCCCCCGCTTAGCGCCCACCAACACTGCTACTAATCTACTCCCCGCATTGTCAGGATCACGCAGCGAGCCAGCTCGGTTTGCGTCGCCCCAATTTATCGCGTGTAGGACGTGACTGCTAGCGGTGGGCTCGCGTTTTCGGCCGCTTGATACCGCTGGAATAACCGGGTAGATTCGTTCGCTTTGAGAAATGCGAGGCAGGCGTAAGTGATGGAGTTGGCTGACTAAGGACGACGACGACGACATGGGCGGAGCGGCACATGACCCGCGCGTCCATTGCATACTCTGGGTGCAGCACATCTAGCTGTATCTAAGCTGCAACTGACGTCTAGTGTGAAATAGTGAAACTGCGGGAGTGAAGCTGTCGGTGGCGCACTCGCCGTGTAGCGGAATTACCTTACAGCGGAATCATCCTGTAGCGTCAGTCCGCCATGACGGTGCGAGTCAAACTGCAGCAGCCGGGATCCTCCTTCGCCTCCTCCCTGACCGCACTCTTCCCCGTCCATCCCGCGTCGTTCTTCTCCAACCGCCCCGTGCGCCTCGTCTTCGTCGGCTCGCTCCTCCTCTGCCTCTGCATCCTCCTCTCCGACCTCCTCCTCCAATCAAGCGACGACACGTCAGCCGCGCCCGGCGCCGCGTCGCCTGCCGTCGCCGCCGCTGTCGCGTCCGGGCGCTACCCGACGAGGCTGTCCCCGCACGACACGCTGGGGCGATTCAGAGGAGAGGCGCGCGGAGGGGGGGGAGCGGAAGGCGGAACGATAGGGGGAGCGGAAGGGGGAGCAGCGGGGGATGGTAACGAGTCTGTGCGAATACTGCACGCGGAGATCGCCCGTTACAGGGAGGGCCAGAATGCCGTGATTGAACCAGGCTTTGATAGTAACGGGGGGAGAGGGGACGGGGGGAGGTCGGTGGTGGGAGGGGAGGGGGAACGGGGGGAAATGGGCGGAGCCAGGGTTAGGGGAGAGGGGGAAAGTGGGGGAGGAGTGGAAGCAGCAGCAATGGATGCTTTCATTCCTTCTTTATCTGACGGAGACGGCGACACGTCAGAGGAGGGCTTGGCTGAGTCAGCATCTGATGGAGACACGTCAGCAGCAGACGGGCCGCAGGAAAGCGCAGCATCGTCAGCGGAAGAGCAAGCTTCAGCTCTGCTTGCTGCTGATTCGGGGACAGGCTCGGGAGCAGCAGCGTCTACAGGCACAGGCGCAGGATCATCCGCAGTGTCGCATGCAGCAGGACCCGCGTCAACAGCAACATCAGCAACATCGGCAGCAGCGGCAGCAGCAGCAGCGTTAGCAGCGAAGGAGCTAGCCACGTGCAAGTCAGCGCTGCAGCAGTGCCGGGCGGACCTAGTCAGCTCAGCCAAGAGCGAAACCAGCAGCAGTAACAGCAGCAGCAGTAACTGTAGCCCTAGCCCTACTCCCCCTGCCAGTAGCGACAGTAGCACCACCACACCCCCCGCCTCTTCCCCCCCCTCACCCCCCGCCGCCCCCCCCGGTTGGGAGCTACAGGCGGGGTCCATCCCCTCGGGCCCGCTGTCCGCCATCCGGGAGAAGATCGAGGAACTCAACAGCAAGCTGGACGACGCCAGGTCAGCACTCGCCCAGTCCGAGAAGGAGCGCGCGCAGCTGGCTGCTGAGCTGGCACAGGCGCACGGGAGCGGAGGGGGAACGGGGGGAGCAGGAGGAGCAGGAGGTGGAGCGGCAGGGGGAAGGGCAGTGGGGGTGGCAGGGGCGAGTGCGGCGAGTAGGTCCCCTGGGTTTGGGCTATGCATGGCGTCGACAGAGGAGATGAGGCGGTATTTGAACTACAGCAAGCGTGCTGCCTGCCCCGACGACTGGCGCTTCGTGGAGCATCTCCGCTTCGCCCGCAACTGCCTGCACCTGCCGCGCCGCCGCTGCCGGGCTACTGCGCTCACGCCGCTGGATTTTCAAGAGTATACTCTTGGTTTCCCCGCGGCGGTGTTTGTGCAGGAGGCGCTACGGGACGAGAATGTGCGGTGGGGGGAGGGGATGAAGTGCAGGTCGTACAAGGAGTGTGTGGAGGTGAATGCGGTGGAAGGGGCGGCGTGCAAGGGGTGCTTTGACGTGCAGTCGGAGCGACACTGGTGGGACAAGAGCATCGCGGGGACGATTCCCCTCGCAGCGTTTCTCAAGCTGAAGTCTCCGGGGGCGCTGAGAATTGGGCTGGACGTGGGAGGCGGCACGGGGGGATTTGCAGCGTTATTAGCGCAGCACAATATCACTATAGTGACGACGGGGATGAACACGGATGAAGGGAAGGAAGACGAGAAGGCAGTTCCTTACATGCAGACAATAGCGCAGCGGGGCCTGGTCCCTCTCTACCTCCCACACTCCGCCCCCCTCCCGTTCTTCGACAACACTCTGGATTTAATCCACACGTTAAATAGCGTTAAGTACCCGCATCTAGCTGAGTTTGAAGCGATGCTGTTCGAGTGGGACAGAGTGTTGAGACCCGGGGGGCTGTGGTGGATCGAGCTGTTTTACGCACCGGAGAAGGAGATGAAGGCATATGTGCGGGCACTGGAGGGGTTTGGGTACGGCAGGAGGTACTGGAGCCTGGTGAAGAAACAGGGCAAGTCGGAGCGGACGGGGAAGCACCTGTTTCTGACTTGTGTGTTGGAGAAACCACTCAAGATTTAAGAATGAATGGAGGTGGGTGATTCGTAGTGGGTGATTGGGGGTGATTGGAAGTGATGGAGGGGCTTGGGTATGGCAGCATCTTCTGAATTGTCACGTGAAAGGTTACTGTAAGATGTGAGTGCTGCTGGTCCAAGTAGTGTGTCTTGGGCTTGTGTGAGTGTCACATGCCATACCGGTAATTATTCGTGTGGCGGTTGTTAGAATAACGCAATGAATAGAAGGAAGACGGAACAAGGGAGATATAGGGCTTGGTTTGTACTCTCTAAGAACACACACATATTCTAGCCTATAATTTCTACATGCAAATATATGTATAAGTTGACACACCCCCTAGGCTAGATACGGGGTAGTGTTGAGCAAGAAGCACACAGCTCATGGTGGCACTACCAGTCCAACCTCTGAGACAGGGGTCCGAAGACCAGTCAGCAAGAGTACCGAAATCCCCCGGATATAACACCCTATGGTGGATATGAAAATTCACTAAAAAAATGAGTGGGTGTTAACAGTGGCCCGGAAAAATATAACGCCCATGTGTTATGTAAAATGCAAAATGAATTCGAGTGTTACATGCCCTATTTGCCCATAAGGGTGCGGAGCAGCTGCTAACGAGGAAAAACAATATGATTTTCCTGTCTCCCCCACAATATCGTAACCCCCTGGCCCAACGGTTTCAGCCCCCCCCCGAGAATTTCCCCCTTTACCGACAATTTCGATTCCCCCTTCACTGACAATTTCGAATCCCCCTTCCCCCCACATTTTCGATTCCCTTCCCCCTTCCCCCCACGTTTTCGATTCCCCCTTCCCCCACAATTCGATTCCTCCTTCCCCTCAATTCGATTCCCAACAATTCATTTCTGCCCGGTTTTTCCGGTGCTAATGGTTGTTGACGCACGATTTCATCATGCTCGCTTTTTGCAACTGAGCGGACCTTGTAATACAAGAACAAATTCAGTTTTCAAACGAATAAAACGAGGAGGGTGTTATGTAAAATTCGTCACCTGAAAAGCGGGTACTCTAAAAAATGCACCATATCATAAGCTCCCCCCCGTATTAACCACCCATGGAGTGACTATTCCGGCGGGTGTTATATCCGGGGGATTACGGTACAAACAAGACGACCAAACCAGGTTGACACTACTAGTCCGACCACTGGAAGAGAAGCCACAAGTCCAGTCCGAGAGATATATATAAAGAGGAGTACACAATCAAGATCCTAGCAAGTGAGAGTCTACAGGAACTAGACCAAGCTGCAAACAGTGCCGCTGATGATCTCTAGGCGCAAGCGCCTTACTAAAGGTATCAGCCGTGTTGGCATCAGAGGCCACGTATACTACGCGGGCCTCGCGGCGCTGCTGTAGCTCACGCAGGAGGAAGTATCGCAGCTCGATGTGCTTCGCTCTTCCCTCAAGTCGAGGCTCCTGACACATGAGGATCATGGCCCTGTTGTCAGCATACAAGACCGGGGCAGAACTAGGCCTAAGTCGGTGAGCAAGAAGGTCAGCCAACGGAGCTCCTGTGCCGCCATGGCACCGGCGTAGATCTCGGCCTCACAGCTAGACTGGGCAACACAGCGAGTGGACCTCCACGAGATGGCACCCGAACCAAAGCTAAAGCGGTAGCCTTGGGAGGACCTGAGGGTCTCAGCGTCGTCTGCCCAAGAAGTGACAGTGTGCCCAGTAAGGACCACTGGCCAGCGTCCTCCCAGCACTAACCCCATGCCCAATGTACTTGCTAGATAACACAAAACCCTCTTAGCTGTTGACCAGTGCTGTGGTCGCTGTCAGCCTGTCGCCACGAGGCGGGCCAGGATGCTGAGAGGGTATGCGAGATCAAGACGAGAGCAAGTCATCAGGCATACGAGGCAACCTACCAGCTCAGCGTAAGGACCACTGGGCTCTGCTGACTCCTTAGGCACTGGAGTTGAGAGCCTGTGGTCTAACGGCAGAAGTGTCGGCTGTGTGGATCGAAACTCTGAAAGGACCTGGCGCACCAAGTGTGAGTGTGAGAGAGTGATGGTGTGCGTTGCTCTGTCCCAGGAGATCTGCAGGCCAAGGTAGCAGCGTAGCTCTCCAAGGTCACTGCAGGTGTGTCTCCTCAGCAGCTCGGCCTTCACGGAGGCCAGTGCGTCTCATTCTGCAGTAGCGAAGACCAGGTCGTCTACGTAGACGAGGATGTAGAACGGATTCTGGACAACGCGAACGAAGAGAGAGGGGTCTGCAGAGGATGGAAAGAACTGCAGGTCACCAAGCGTAGCACGCAGCGTGTCGTGCCACTCACGGGGCGCCTGTCGCAGGCCATAGACCGGGCGCCGAAGGAGCCACTGGGTCCCAGGTGGGAAGGTACCAGTGAAGCCCTGAGGACGGCGCTGCTCGTGTAGTCACGCTGTGCTGTTACGTGTAGCAGCACCCGAAGAGAAGTCACCGTTGGGGTCGGGGCGAAGTTCTGAAAGAGTTCCACCCCCTCTCGCTGACTGAAGCCTCTAGCCACGTAGCGCGCCTTGAACACAGTCGGCTCTCCAGGGGGGGCGCTTCACCTTGAAGAGCCACCGGCCATCGACTACGTCCACCCCATGTGGGGGGACTGCATCGACGTACAGGTGCTGGTGGATCTCCAAGATGCCATCTCCTGCTCCATGGTAGCTATCCACTGAGAGGCCCAGGGTCCCGAGGTCGCCTCAGCGTAAGTGCGAGGGGTCGGGATATCAAAGGCGTCTGGGTCACCCTCAGGGACTAGCAGCATGGAACAGAGATGGGGAGCAGCCTCCGACAGGAAAGCAAGCTCGTACTGCCTGTCCTCTAAGACGTCATTGCCAAGGGCAGGAGCACCCCCGACGGACGGAAGACAGACAGGGTCAGAGACCAGAGCGGTGGCGTAGTCAAGGCGGCGGGTAGACGCGAAGTCAGCGACAGCAGCGACAAGAGCGTCAAGACTGGAGACAGGAATTGACGGGTCGGTAACGAGGGAGGCAAGGACCTGGGGAACGAGAGGAATAGCGGCACGGAGGAAGTTAGACAGAGGAGGTGGAGCGACAACAAGCGAAGACGGAGGAGGCGACGGGAGGAGGGGAGGACGAGACGCGTGGGAACGGAGCAACATAGGGTGAGAGCACTGAACAGGAGAGACAGGATGGGCACGAGGGACGGCGAGACTAGAAGTGGGATGAAGGCGTGGGGTCAGGAGACACAGGAGGAGACACAGGTGGAGAACAAGGGGGGAAACGAGCCGGAGACGAGTCCGGCAGCGGAAAAACAGGGCTGTAGACAAGCGGGGGAGGCAGCTACAGGGGAGGCGCCAGTGGGTGGTCAGGAGAGGGAAGACCGAGGAGGCGAAGTGCGGACACCGGCGGCCACGACTGCTGCAGCTGCTGCTCCAAGCCAACACCTGAACCTCCAGCTGCACAACGGCTGCCTCAAGGACTCTCCACACCGACACCTCTGGAAGAGAACCCCCTCCAGAACCGATGCCAACCCCAAGACTACCACCCCCAGGACCAGCAACCCTAGAACGAGAACCCTCCCGAGAACTGGTGCCACCCCCAGGACCGCCAGGACAGGCCACGACAGGAACCCCAGAACTAGCACCCTGCTCAACACCCGCACCCCCAGAGCTCGCAGACCCTTGCGGCTGCTGCTGCTGCAGTGGTGGCGACTGCGGCTGCTTCTGCGGCTGCGACAGCTGCTGCTGCGGTGACGACGAAGGAGGAGACATCGGGGCGGAGACAATCGGCGAGAACGATGCCGCGGGGCCACCAGAGTCAGCCGACTCCTCGACCGTGACAACCGACGAGAGGGGAGTGACGTGAGACACACCATTCGGGGCGGGACGGGGAGGGAGAGGAGCAGGGGCTAACGGGGGAGTGGGAACCCGAAATAGGGGCGGGGAAACCGGGAGACCACGGTGAGGAAACCGGTGGTAGAAGGAGACAGACTCATCAAAAGTGACGTTACGCGAGTGAAAGAAGCGGTGGGACGGCGAGTGGTAAAAGTGCCAGTCAGATGTGTCGAGGGGGAAGCCAAGGAAGACACAGGGGACAGTGCGAGCAGTGAGCTTGTCCGTGCCAGAGGCACGAACGTGAGCAAGGCAGCCCCATACAGTGGAACGCAGACGCGTCACCAGGGAACCCGGTCGAGAGAAGGGTCGGCGAAACCTGCGGCCGCTGGGTGTGCGGTCAGAGGTTAAGCTAGTGAGCGGCGTAGCGAACAGCGAACGGCCACAGAAAATGGGGTGCACCGGCATGGATCATGGAGGTACGAGCCACCTCCATGACCAAACCGATGCGTCACTCAGCGACCCCATTCTGCTACGGGAAGTCTGGCAGGGTGTACGACTGGGTGATGCCCTCGGCACGACAGAACTGGCCAAGCCGACCGGAGGCGAACTAGCTGCCACGGTCGGAGTGGAGACGCTGCACAGGGAGGCCCCGGTGGACTCGCGCAGCTACGACCCACGGGATAAGAACGTCAGGCACGTCGGGAACCTAGACAACACACAGCGGACACACCTACGCTAGGAAACACCGGGTAATAGGGTCCAGTCACACTAGAGTCATCAGCATACATGGCATACAAAGCAGACCTAATCTGATCCATGTCCATCTCAAAGGTAGGCACACGACGACGCACCAGGCTGTACCAGTCGGGGATGTCTGCCGTGGGGCCGAAGCGGAGACGGAAGAGGTCGTCGAGGCGGCGGTAGCAGCATGCGGCAGTGTGACCGGGGCGGTCACAGACGGTTCCGCGGCGGGGGCCACACTGAAGCTAGTACTGGCAGATGACCACACTAGAGCCGCCACCCGACACCGAGCTGCGCCCCCCACCACCACCAGAACCGCCAGGCCACCATGGCGGCGGGGACGCCCACGGCGACTGCTGCTGTTGCTGCTACTGCTGCTGATGAGGCTGCTGCTCCGGGGCACCAGCACCGGTCCCCTCGTCTGCACCACCGTCCCCTCCACCACCTCCGCCACCCTCGCCACCCCCGCCACCTCTCCCGCTGCCACGCCCTCCTCGGGCCCGGCGTCCCCTACCCTAATGCGACTGTGCATTGGCCGCCATAGCGGTCTCAGCAGCAGGGGCTGTCTCAGCAGCAGCGGCAAAGGCGTCAGAGTAAGTGCACTAGGAGGGAGCACAGCCCTGGAAGATAGGGACCGCCGCAGTACCGCTCGACTGAGCGATAGTGCGCTGGCGAGTCTCTATCGCGGTCAAGATAGTGATAAAGTCAGTGAGGATGAGGTCAGCAGGGTGGAGGGCAAGGAAGTGGTCGCGGGCAGTGGCTAGGCGGTCCGGAAGGCGCGTGGCAAGGAAG